TGGGTGTTGCGTTGCTTTTTGGTGGGGGGTCGTAGAAGCTTCTTGAATGACTTCTGGGAGTCTACCTGAGGCCTCTGGGGAACCTCTTTGGGTCCCTTTCGGGATCCTCTCGGGGGATTCTGGAGGGCCGCGCGGGGGCCTATTGGGCGTCCCGGAGCCGCCCCGCGAGCGATATGCGGATCCATTGAACCATTTTTCGGGGGTGGATTGGCCTCCTACCCTGGCACGTCGATTAGCGAATTGGCCGTTTTCGGTTCGCGAGAGGGCGTCGCGGCCGTCATTTTTGTTGGTCCAGGTCCGTCGGTTTCGGTCCCAGGCCGTTTTCACTAAAGGGAGGTTTACTAAAGGGAGGTTTGTCCACGGCCGAACTTTGGGGCTATATGGGCGAACCTTGGGACCGTACTGGATCCCTCAGGAGGCTGTCTTGTGTGGTCCTCGGGCCGCCTTGGGGCGGGCCGAAAGACAAGTGGTGCGCGTGCCTTGGCCCTTGCGCGCTCAGGTCGCGAAGGGGCTGGGGCCAGGGCCACGGGTAGGCGAGGGAGGCGAAACGAACGACGACCACCACTACGAAAACACAAAGGTCCCCAGGGGCAGGGAGCGAGGGGGCATGGGGCCAGGGCCAGGGGCAGGCCAGGGGAGGGGGGACGAAACGACGACCACCTCGAAGAGTGAGCGCTCCGCGGCCAGGGGGAGCGGGCAGGAGGCCAATGGCGAGGGGCGGGGGCGAACGACGACCACCTTGAAGAGTGAGCGCTCCGGGGCCGGGGGGGGGGGCGAGGCGAGGGGGCCCTAAGGCCAGGGCCAGGAGCACGCCAGGGGGGATGGGGCGAACGGCGACCACCACCACCGCGAAAACAGAGGCTCCGGGGCCGGAGGGCGAACGGCTCAGAGGCGACGGCAGGGGCGAACAGCCCAGGGGAGAGCAATACACGTATCCAGGGGCACCGATGATCTATGTCTTCGACAAGGCTCCCGTTCGAATGCGTATAATGCCCGCCCCGGGGCCATTTGCCCTTACTGTCGCCGCCGAACGACGACCAGCACCGCGAGACTCAAGGGTTCCGAGCTTTAGAACGCAGCTGTGCAAGGTAGTTGGCTGAGCAGAGGGGTGCCACGTATCAAAGCCCGCTGGCACAACTCAGCGTCGCCATGTCCACCGCTCTTCTTTGCCTCGTGGGCTCGGCCAGAGGAGGCGGCGCTTTCAGTCGCCGCGCGGGCTCGGCCGGAGCGCTGTGATTCGCGGGCGTTTCCTGGGAAGTGCCCTGAAGGGTTCCGGGCGATCGCGGGGACGCGGCAGGTTCAGCCCCAAGGGTTCCTCCAGAGATCACCAATTCTGGCACTCCCTCTCTCGATAACGCGACCGTGACCATAGCCACTGCTCCTTCGTGTTTCCTAGATAAGATTTTAAAACATAGAATTCCGTTTTTTAACGCGTTGGGATTTGTTAATTTTGGCGGCGGCAACGGCAAACATGTTTGTACGCTCTGATTTCGGTCGCATCCACAGGACTTCTTTCGGAGGACCGTTTTGGAAAGTGCCTCGCTCTCTCGCCGCGTCCCGCAGCTGGATGCCCGTCGAGCTTTGCCTCTCGGCCAGCCCCTCGTCGTGGTTTGTGGTCGGCAGATGACGAGAAGCGGCGCGTTCCTGGATATGGCGAGGCACAGAGGGAGGAGGGCGAAAGAGCGGGGGGGGGGGGAGGATGGAGGACGGAGGTGAAAGGAGGGGAGGAAGGAAGAGCGAGGAGAAGGGTGGAGGGGGGAGGAGCGATAGGGGATCCAGAAAGAAGGGACGAGATGGAGAATGGGGAGGCTGAAGAAGGAGCCCATGGGGAAAGAGGAAGAGGAGAAGAAAGCAGAGACGAAGGTGGAGCTGGAGGGCGAGAGGGAGACAACGGAGAGAGGAGATCGACGAGAAGGGGGGGGGGATGGGGAATGCAGGGCCAAGACCTCGCCCGCTCGCGAAGCGGTCTGGGGTCGGAGCGGCTGGCCGACGCGGCGGCGCCCGCGCCAGTCCGCAGGCGCGCCTGCGCGCAGACCCGCGCCAGGTGAAGTGCAGGGGCCTGCCCACCGACGACTTCGTGAGCCTGGAGGTGGACGGCGACAGGTCGTCGGGGAGTGAGCGGGCCCCGTCTCCAGACGCCCTGGGGTCATAAAAGAAGCATGGCGGAAGTGGTTTGGCAACTGTCGGCCTCTGGGGCCCTCGCTGGACCTCGGGGCCTTGAACTAACGACCCAGGGTGAAAAACCCGTCCCAGGGAATGGGTCGAGACCTCCGGGGGTCCACGTCATGAAAAGATCATGACGTCCGGGGTCTGGGCCTGAAGCGAGGCTCCCCCATCGCTCCCTCCCGCCCGCCTCCCTCCTCCGCCCTCCGCCTTCGTATTCCTCCTCCCTCTCTGCCCGGGAGAGGGATGAGGAAGCGGGAGAGGGGGGGCTCCCTCCCCTGTTCAAGGACACGGAAACATGGATTGTGGCAGGTGGATTAGCGACGGGTCCCGTTTTCGATTGATTTTGCGAAGAGTCGCGTGCACCCGTCCTATCAATGTGGCGGACTCGCAGGGTTTCATCAATCGTGGGCAGTTTCACCACGCATCTTGCGCTGCGCATGTGTCCAGGCAACCTCCTTGTGAATGGCCGCTAAGAAGCCAGCCTAATGGTGGCTGCGTGGCCCGTTGCATTAAATGGGAGGTTTTGGCAGGGCCGCAGATGCCCACTAAGGCACGCGGGCCCCTTACCCCATCCCCCCAGCCCCGTGCCCTGACCCACCTGCCGAGCCATGCGCGCTAGCCTCCGAGCCATTGGGGCCCAGTTGTGCCGACTGCGTTCGGCGCATCACTCGAGGGCCACCCTCATCCCTTTCGCTAGTTCATGTTGCTCACCAATGCGCAAAATGCTGCGAATGATGGGCGACGGACAACATGGACTAGCGGAGCGGCCCCTGGGACCAAACAGAAAGGATTATGATGCACCCGATGGGGGCGAGGGTTCGTTTCACAGATCCATGGATACAGCCCCCTGGATCCGTTTCACTAAACCATGGAATCGCGGCCCCGTTCGCCCAGACGGCGGACGTTAGGGCAAGGGTCGGGTTGCGCAGCGCTGGTGGCTTCGCCAACGAAGCCCGCCATCGCAAGTTGGCGCGGTTTGGCGGTCGCGAATGGGCCGTGCGTAGCCTCGGTCGCAGAAGGGATTGGCAATGCCCCCGTAATCCCGCAAACCACCTCGTGCCGGTCGCAACCAATAGAAACGCAAATGCAGCGCACCTGGAAATGGACGACACCGTTGTGGCGTTCCGCCACGGGTTGGATGTGTTGACCGACTACTAAGTTTGATTATGTCCACTCCGTGCCCGCATCGCAGATCCACGGATCACTAATCCATGTTAGCGTTTGCTTGACCCGTCTTGCCTCCTCCTTCCTTCCCCCGCTCTCCTCCTCCTCCTTCTCCCATCCATTCCCATTTTCCGTATAGATAACTTCTCCCCGTTGCGCCGTTCACGCTGACGAGTGGGACGTTTGTTCTGTTTGTGTGTGTGTTGCCTTTCTTTTTTCCTCTTCCTCCAAACCAGAAATAGGGAACTCTTCCCTGTCGCGCCACCAGGCGTGTCGGTTTGGCGGTCTGGGCGTTTCCTCTGAGAGTTCCTCACCGCCTCTGGTCCTAAATCTTGAAGTGTCCAAGGGCTGCCAGGATCGAGGGCGGACCCTTTTCATCCGAGTTGGGGTTCTGGCCTCCACGCCGCGCGCAACCGTCGCCAAAGACTGCAACAGGACCAAGAAGGGACGGCGCACCCTCTTCAAATTGGGCTCCCGCCTTAGCGCTGCGCACAGTGCTTTAACAACCTGCAGCAGCTGCAAAGTCCCAGTGTTTTTTTCAGAACGGGGCTCTCTCGTTAGCGCCGCGCACATTCGTCTTAAAAGCTTGCGTTAGCTGGGCTTTTCAAGATAGGGCTCTCGCTGAAGACTTCTTCGGAGTGAGCGAGGGGCGGTTCGACACTATGTAACAGCTGCGCGGATGGGGACGGCTCTTTTTTCAAAACGAGCTCGCGCTGGACAGATCTTCGAAGGTGACGACCCTATTTCTCGCATTCCGGACAGTTCGCGAAAGCGATGCAAGGCAGTTCACGCGCGGGGTCCGTCTCTTCTGCCTTATCCATCTTCCCTATCCACCTCCCCCTCTCCCATTCACAACCCCTCTCTATCCCCAAACTGATCTGCATGTCGGTTGCACGCCTAGGCGGCCTGTTCCGCATTGCCATACTCTGCTCCCCATCAAACTGGCACGGGACTAACTTGCCTTTATGATTACCCCCACTCACTCTGTCAGCGTGGCCATTTGGACCACCTTGTAGGGGTAAAACAACACAACTTCTGTGCAGCCGCGGTGGCGATACGTTTCCAAGGGAATTCGTATCAGTGATTTTCTTTGCTCCTGCCCGAGTCTGGGGACATTGCCGATTTTCGAGGACATGGCTCAGCTGGCTGGTTCTTTTGGCTTCCTTCCTCCTCCTCCTCGGCCGTTCGCCCGTCGTCACATGTAACTACTTTTGCTTGCGCAGGTGGCGCCTACAGTGGGCAGTAACGTAAATGGGTGTGGCCCGCATCTCTGGCCAGAGTGTTGGCCACGTTCGCAGGTCAGCCTTGTGACGAACGTGGCAGGTGCCGGCACGCTTGGCGTGGCGACTTGCGGAAAAACAATGATTACCCCCTCTCGCTCTACCTCGCCCTTGTTTGACTCATGTGTCTCATATCCTTCCTCAATATCTCTTCCCATGCCTTGAAAGCCACCTCTCGATCGACCTTGTCCCCCCTCATTCTTGGCATAGTGCTGCCCTGTCGGACGAGGCGCGGCATTTTTCTGTTGGCAGGGGTCAGCTCTACTAAAGGTCTCATTTGCCTTACATTGCCATCCTCCTTGCTTGCCTGCGTTCCGAGAGAATGCTTGTACGTGGTATTCGGCGGATCAGGGCCAGGAATAGTTATTTAGCGTTGCATCGAAAGGGGAGGATCAACAGTGCCAAGTCGTGGAAGTGGATGACTTGGCAGGAGCCCGCTTGACCATGCGTACACGAGTTGCGACTCGGCTGATCCTGTTCAGGCTCGTTTGGTGTTGCGAAGGCTCTCGCATGCGGATTGGCTAGCGTGCGCACGCTCATACATTACACCGTCGTGCACGAGCACGCCACGCTACCGAAAAATGTAAGCCGGCACGAAGTAATGCATTGATGCGAGCGCATGTGAATCTAGAATTATTTATGGTAGTTTTTACAACTGAATGCTGAGCGGAGACGGGGAACCGGACGAAACCTTGTAAAGTACAGTCGTCTGGGAGCAACGCAGAAACCGACCATTTTCGACTGAACAGGGTCGGTTTTTCTGCCAGCGAGAACACTACAGACGTCATTGGCTTGCATACGTACTCATATTTGTGCTCAAAGTTTTGTGGGGGCCCCGGCTCCCATGGAGGTCTGCTCCTCGAGATTACCCGGGGCATCTCAACCGCCCTCGCCGTGCGGTCTTCGGCGGTCCCCTGTCCAGACTGCACCTGCAATTGCGCGCCTGCGCTTGCCTGCTCTGAGGGCGCGCTCCCGCGGGAGTTCGGGCAGGAGACGGGCTGGGAGTGGCCCGGGCCCTGGGCCTGCTTCTCTTTGATCGGCCTCGGCGCGGTCGCCGGGGCCTCGGCGGTGCTGCTGGCACAGCGCTGGCCGGCGCCTGCCCCCGCAGCGGCGCCGGCACGGGCAGCGGGCCCGGCCGAGCTCGCGGACCCCTCGTCCGCCCGAGCGGACTTGCTGCAGGAGGCGCGCGCGCAGCTGGCGGAGGTTGCAGCACGCCGCGCCGCGGCCCGCCAGGCCTGACGCCATGGCGGCTCCACACCAGCTCATCGCGGCGGGCTTGGCCGAGGGCGACTTCCTGGCTGTCCGATACAGAGTGGGTGGCCGGCGCCTTTGGCACCGCCGCCTGGTAGTGGCGCTCGTGCCCGGCGGGACCACCGTTGCGGGCATCATGACTCCCGACCTCGATGAGTACGACGAGGACGTGGCCGACCAGGCGAATATCGCAGAGTGGACGATGCTCCCGCTTGGCACGATCGGGCTTGCTGCTCCGGCTATGGGCAACGACGACGTTACGACTTCAGGCACATCCCGTTGCAGGCCGCGGTGGATGCAGCTCGAACCGCAGCATACGCGAGAAGGGGGGCGGTGCCGGTCGGGCCCATCGTGGTCAACCTCGCCGGGCGCGTGGGGGCCAGCGCTCCTGTGGGCGCTGCACCCCCTGCGGCTGGCGGCGCGGCGGCTGCGGCGGCTGGGGGCCCTGGCGGCGGCGGCGGCCTCGCGGGGCTGGTGGCGGCCCTTGGCGGCCCGGCGGGCGGCCCGGCCGTTGCGGCGGCCGCCCCAGTGGCCCTGGTGCCCGTGGCAGCGCCCGCCGCCCCTGCCGCCGGCGCGGGCGCCCCGCCAGCCGGGCCTGGGGCCGCGGCGGCCATCCCTGGCGCGCCCGTCGCGCCCGCCGCCCTGGCAGCGCCCGGCGCGCCCGCGGCCGCGGCTGCAGCTCCCGCGGCGGGCGCCCCGGCGGCCCCGGCTGTGGCTGGACCTGGCGGCGACGCCCGGATCTTCGGCGTGGTGGTCGATGCGCGCGGGGTCCGTCGTGTGGACTTCCGCACCGCAGTCACCCGGATGACCGAGCTCCCCTGGCCAGACTGGCCCGTGCGAGGGCCGCGCACGTTGCGGTGGGTGGCAGAGTTCATGGCGCAGCGGAGCGGCACGCCGACGGCGCATCATCAGAGGTGGCTGGCGGAGACGGGCCTTGACCCCGCCGATCCAGGAGTGGAGATCCACCAGACGGGCTGCGTCGTCCTCGAGACGGCCATTACCTACGACCAGGAACACGCCACGAACCTCGCCCACCTCGAGCTCGTCGCCCGCTCGATCCAGGTGCAGGAAGAGAAGTACCGGTTTCTCGTTGAGCCCGACGATGCCTCGGCTGCTGACAGGTCGGCCATGATGGGGACGTCGCAGCTCGCGGGCTCTGTGTGTGTCTGCCCCGTCCTTCGCGACTATCTCGCATCGGAGTCGCAGAAAGAGATGGCAGTTGCGAAGGAGCGGAGGAAGGCGCGCGAGGAGCGCGCCCTCGCCGGCGGCCAGCCTGGCGGCGGGCGCGGAGGGGGCGGCAGGGGCCGCGGCGGCCGGCGGGGCAGAGGCTCCGGTGCCGCAGGCGGCGATGCCTAGCTTGCCGGAGGGCGGTCGGCCTGGCCCGCCGCCGCCCTGGCTCCTCCAGGCCTCCGCGGGCGCCAACAGCGCTGCCCGCACTTCGGGCGAGGCCGGGCCCCCTTCGCGTTAAGACGGTCGCCAGCGCAACCTCTCCCCGCTGCCGCAGCTCACAGCAGCCGACGCGGCGCCTGGCCCCTCTCGCACCCGGCGGCGCGCTCGGGCGGGCCACGCCCTCGGGCACGCGCTCGACCGGGCCAGCGCTGCCGTGCATGCACTGAATTACCTATGCGGTGACAAGTCCTCGCCCGAGTCGGCCGTTCCGACAGCTGGGCAGCGCTGCGCCGTCAGTCACATCTGGGACACCATTGCCGCCCTCGGCCCCGAGCCGGACGAGTACCGCGACGACGTGTCCGACCCCAACGGGGCCCTCCGTGAGCTCCTTGCTGGGTCCGCGCTGTACCCTGACGGCAGCGGGCCCACCGCTCCCCACGTGCCAGACCTCGTCTCTTGGCCCGATGTGTCCCGGCCCCCAGCGCCGCTCCTTGGGCTGCTTGGAGAGCGGGGCGCCGCCGCGCTGCAGGAGTGGAGGTGCCATATGCTTCGAGACGCGGAGGAGGCGCGTCAGCTTCGGGCTGAGGCTTGTCCGCGCGGGCCCTACACGGACCCCGCCCTCGTTCAGTCGCCCGCAGAGTATGCCAAGCTCCTGGGCGCGATGGCTGAGCGCCACATGCTCACCTTGTCTCCCGCCCGGGGGCGGCGGGGCAACATGGGAATATTTGTTGTACCTAAAAAGAATGGGAAGTTGAGGGTCATCTTCGACACGCGGGTGGCCAACTGCTCGTTCATCGAGGCCCCGAGGACCCAGCTGCCGTCTGCCTCGGCCTGGGGCCGCCTCGAGGCTGGCGACGTTCGCCTCAGCATCGGCTCCGCCGACCTGGACGTCGCTTTCTACCACATGCAGGTGCCTTCTGGGATGGAGGAGTTCTTCACCTTGCCTCCGATCCCTGCAAAGTATTTGATGCCCTTCGGATGCGTGGAGGCCGGCACGAGGGGTGACGACCTCCTGCTCCCGCAAGTGGCGGTGCTCCCGATGGGCTTCAGCTGGGCCCTGCACCTGTGCCAGACGGTGCTGCAGACATCCCTGTGCCGAGCCGGCTTCTCGCCCGAGAACCTGATCCTTGACGGCCATGGCGGCTGCCAGCTCTCTGGCGACCCATCCTCGGTCGTGGGCGCCGGCTACGTGGACAACTACTTCGTCCTTGGCGGCTCCCCAAAGCACGTGAGCGAGCAGCTGCAGGCTATCACCGACGACCTCCAACGGCATGGGCTCGCAGTTCATGACGTCGAGGAGCCCTCCCAGGACTGCGACTTCCTGGGGCTGTCGCTGCGCGAGGGGCGCTGGCTCAGCCTTCGGACTCGCAACATCTGGCGCCTCCGCGCGGCCATCCGCGGCGCCCTGCGCCGCCAGCTGATCAGCGGGTTCCTGTTGCGGGTGCTCACCGGCCACATCACGTGGGCCCTTCTGCTCCGACGAGAGATGCTGTGCGTGCCGGGGGCGACCTACGCATCCATTCAGGCCACCGGGCCCACGGCGGCGCCCCTGTGGCCTGCGGCGCGACAGGAGCTCCAGCTAATTCACGACCTGCTGCCCCTTTGCGCGGCCGACCTGGGCGCCCCCTGGCGCGGGCGCGTCGCGTGTACAGACGCCTCTCCGTGGGGACTGGGCGTCGTTGCTCGCCGCGCCCCAAAGGACCTCGTGGGCGCCACAGGCCGAGTTGCTGAAAAGTGGAGGCATAAAGTCGAGGGAGGAGCGCAGGCGAGAGCTCGCACTGTAGGAGTGTCGGAGGAGACTGACGCCGCCGCCGACCTCGGCTACCCCCTCTCGTTCGACAGCTCGGACAACGCGAACGTCGGTCACGGGGGGAAGGGGGCGCAGGACGAGCTGGGGCGTTCGGTGCTCGATCCTCGCCCGCCCGTCGACTTCGAGGAGGTCCCCGCGCACTTCATTCGGGAGTCGGCCTGGGGCTTCGCCGCGGTCTTCGTCGACGGTCAGGCCAACATCTTGGCCTTGGAGTGGGAGGCTCTCGTTCTTGGGTATCGCAATCTGTTGCGGTCCACGTCATCGTTCGGGTCCCGGTTCCTCGTCCTCTCCGACAACCTGCCCTTGGTCCTGTCGGTCGGGAAGGGCCGGGCTCGCAGCAGGCACCTCCAGAGCACCCTTCGCAAGATCTGCGCGCTCTCCGTGGCCACTGGCTCAACCCTGTCTGTCAGGTGGATCCCGTCGGAGGCGAATCCCGCCGACGGGCGCAGTCGCGGGCGCGCTGGCTGGTTCTCCGGCAGTCGGCCGGCGCCGGCACTGCCGGGCGTGGGGCCGCTGGATCACGCGGCTGCACTGGTTGCTGGCGCTCCTCCTCCGGGCCGCGCTGGCTGGGAGGAAGCAGGCGGCTCCGACGGCGTCGGCGCTGAGGGGCGAGCGAGCCCGCCGCGCGCAGGAGCTTGCAGCTGCTGCGGCGCCGGTCCTGGGGCTCTCGCTGCTGGAGCGGCTGGCGGTGCGGCCCTCGACCGAGAAGCTCTACCGGGGGGCGCTGTCGGCCTTCGCGAGCATCTGCGCAAGGCACCGCCTGGACTGGACGGACCATGCCAGCCTCGACTCGGTCCTCGCGCAGTACATGGACAGCGAGTTCCTCCTCGGCGGCGGCGGGAACATGGGGAACGTGCTCCCGCGGCGGTCGCCCACTTTCTCGGCTCGCTCCACAAGCGAGCGGCGACGCAGCTGCCGAGGGCGCACCGCGCGGCTGCAGCCTGGGCCCGGCGGGCGCCGGGCCGCGCGCGCCTCCCGCT